CCTTGCTTCTCATAGAAAGCGAATGTGAAGAGGATTTTGAGTTAAGATACAAGTATGTAAATTTTGTTTTCTCATCCACCCCTAAATGAATAGCTACGCCTTTAACATGTCATTATTTTTAATGCTTTTCAATGAAGTGTGGCTGTTTCTGCTGGTTTATCGGCAAGCCAAAATACAAAACAGCTTTTTTCTCGGCAACAGTAAGCTTCCTCCGGTTTTTATACGTTTTTTGCAGTTATGCAATGCGAAAGCGCATATTGACGAGAGGTTGTCTGTGTGTGTTTGTGTGTGTGTGTGTGTGTCTGTGTATGCGCAAGGCCTCCGTACCGATTTTTCATCTCGAGACCTACAAAAGCTACAGGGCTGAAACTTTGGGGACTTAATCTACATGCGCGTACGAGCTCCCATCCCCAAAATGGGCGGTCTTACCCACGTGATACCCAGATAAGAGCCCGCCAAAGTTTTTTACGAGTGAGCTGCTAACTCGCGAATCAGAAAAGCTAGAAAGCTGAAATTTTAGGGGGATGTTCCCCATCCATGTAGGTACTAATGAGCTCAAAACCAGCCTTCAGATAAGCGTGGTACCCGCGTACGAGCCCGCCAAAATTTTTCTCGGGTAAGTTCATAACTCAGGGATCTGAGATGCTAGAAAGCTGAAATCTTAAGGGGATGTTCCCCGTAAAAGTAGGTGTCAGTGATCTCAAAACCAGCCCCCGGGTAAGAGTGGTATCCGCGAACGAGCCCGCCAAAATTTTTTTTGGGTAAGTTGATAACTCGCGAACCAGAAAAGCTAGAAGGCTGAAATTTTGGGACGTTCCCCGTTAAAGTAGGTATAAATGAGCTTAAATCCAGCCCCTGGGTAAGCGTGGTACCCGCGTACGGGCCCGCCAAAATTTCTCCTGGGAAAGTTCATAACTCGGGGATCTGAAAAGCTAAAAGACTGTAATATTAAGAGGATGTTGCCCGTCTACATTAGTCCTAGCGAGCTCAAACCCTGCCCTCGGTCATGCGTGGTACCTACGTACGTTTTCACCAAAGCTTTTTCGGGTAAGTTCGTAACTCGAGAACCTGAAAAGCTAAAAGGCTGTAGTTTTAAGATGTTCTCCGTCCAAGTAAGTCCCAACGAGCTTAAACCCAAACATCGGGTACGCGTGGTACCCGCGTGCGGCCCCGTGAAAGTTTTTTCCAATAAGTTGCTAACTCAGGAGCCAGGAAATACCCACTTAATTTGTTTAGCTAGAAGCATTTGCCGAAAAAACCGATGCCGGTAGCGACAAAAACTGCGCGGAACTATGCAAAAAACGCATTTTCGCACGGGCAGCCGTTGCGTCGGCCAATTATTTTGAAAGATACAGCTCACACAATTAGGAAATTTCAGGATCACAGCTTTCCCGGAAAAAATACAGTTATTTCACTTAGTGAAATCGACATTTTGGCCCTTGTGCAGGAATTATCATGAGATCCAAAACACTAGACAAAAATGTACATTTTGCTTGTTTTTTTAGATTTTTTGCCATTTTTTTACAAGTCAATAATTTCAGGAGAGTCGAGTCGATTAGCGGCTTAACACAGACCGTTATTAGTCATTATCTTCAATTATTCCTCTTACCTGCCTGAGCTTCTCTGAAGAGACAATCTTTTCAGGTAATATTTACGAGTTGTTTTGTATTGAGAAGGAAATTTCCGTATCTCTTCCTGATCTGATAACAATCCGAATTAGCTGCACAACATCAACTCAGAAGTGGAGACATTTTTGGTAGTTATTTTGCGAAGGCATAGCGAAAAACCCGCAGAATTCGGGTCCACTGCATAAGAATTACGTTCAGGATATTTTTTATCATCCGCGTGGTTGAAGTTGATTTGCTGCAATCCGTCCGATAAATCAATGGGGAAGCCCAATGGAATTAATGCGAGATCCGATAAC